GGTGATGATGATTGCTGTTGGTTGTGTTGGTAGTGTTGATGGTGGTGATGATGGTGATAGTGGAATGGCTGAGGCTGCTGCTGCTGCGAATAGGCGTGTGTGGTTCCATCTTGTGCATTGACACTCGAACACCCGTCAAACACAAACACCGTGCTGCGTGCAGGCGCAGTACAGCTTGCTGTGTCGCTGGACGGAGTGGGAGCTGCAGCCAGTGTGCCAGCGGGAGGGGCTGTGCCTCATGCCCTGGTCACCGCTCAAGGTGAGGATGGTGATGGCAGCGGTGGCGGTAATGGTGATGCATGTGTGTGTCAGAGTGTGTGACTGATGGTGGCATTATGAGGAAAGCATGAAACCCGTGCATGTTGTGTGTGTATCTGGAGCACAAATCCCCTGAATCTTCTACACGACTACATGTCAGCTCACCACTTGGTCACGTGCCATCCTTGCATCTTCTTCACTCCAGGGCGGCTGGCTGACGGGCAAAATCAAGCGCAACGCACCAGCACCAGCAGTGCGTGTGTGCATATGTGGGGGGGGGGGTTCTGTGTGTGTACGTGTGTGCCTATTTGTGTGTGTATGTGTGTGCGTCTGTGTGTGTCTTTGTGTCTGTGTCATGTCTGCGTGGTCCAATTTGCATCCTGCACATAGGTTCATGCCACTGATGCACACACGTACACACACATACACACACACGCATACACCACACTAACACCACACAATGCCATGTCGTCGTGTCCCAACATTAGGGGTCGCGCGTTGCGTGGGCGGAGAGCCACGGGTCGAAGTTGCAGTCCCATCCGGGCCTGTCCACCTTCAAGGACCAGGCATTCGTGCGTAGTACACATGGGAGGCGGGGATGGCGTTGTGGTTGGTGTGTGTGTTGTGCTGTGTTGTGTTGCGCTGTGTTGTGTTGTGTTGGTGTGTGTGTGTGTGTGTTGTGCTGTGTTGTGTTGCGCTGTGTTGTGTTGTGTTGCAAACGTTCATCGAAGAAGTTACTGCTTGCTTCATCACCCATTCTCAACCAACTCAACACGCCCACACGCACACGCTACAGGTGTGGCCGCTGCTTGCTGCGCTGGACGGCGTGGCAAAGGAGTGCGGACGAACGACAGCACAAGTTGCTCTCAAATGGCTCTTGCAGCAGTCGGCCGTTGGCACAGGTCTGCCCAGCGGTGGTGGTGGTGGTGGTGACGGCCTGGTGATGATGATGGCACGTGAGGATTGTTGGAAAGTGTTCAGAGCGCACATCAATTGTACACACACACACACACGCACACACACACACACACACACACACACACACACACACTGCAGTTGTGATTGGTGCGCGCACTGTGGATCAGCTGGTTGAGAACTGCCAGGCCGGCATGGACAACTGGACCATTTCTCCGCAGGACATGGACACCCTCACCCGCCTCTCAAAGCTCGACGTGCCATGTACGCAAGGGACTGGGAGAGGAGTGTGCGTGTGTGTGTTTGTATGCGTGTGTGTGTTTATGTGTGTCGTACACATCCACTTTGCCCTGGCACAGACCGCTCATCTCGATGCATCTCAATGCCATGAACAGATCCCTACGAGATGGTGTGGCGGATGCAGGCGGGACGACAACACGACTGATTTCAGTCACACACATACACTCACTCACACACACACACACACACACACATTTCTGTATGTTGATGGTTCTTCATGCGAGTAAAATAAAGCAATCTCAAGAGTCTCTTATTGGTCGTTCGCTCGTCGCAACAGCAACTGCAAGAGCACGCACGCACCAAACGTGCTGTGCGCATTCGTTATCACCTCACTCATACACAATCGAGTAATCAATCTCTAACACACACACACACATCAACATCGCAAGTGTCAGTCGGCTGCTGGTGTTGTTGCGTCTGTTGATTTGGTTTTCTCTTCAAGCAGTTCATCTGTTGCCAGCTCCGCACGTATGGACTCGGAAAAGTCCGCACATGCCTGCAGGCAATCTGTCACGCCCGTGTTGGTAATGATGATGATGATGATCATGGTACCAGCAAGAAATCGTGTGAATACATGGAGGCAAAGACCGTTGAGGGGTGAGTGTAGGCGATGATGGGGGTTGATTCGCATCAATTCAACACCGCAACAGCAGTGTAAGTCTTCGTTGTGAGCAGGCACGAACCAGAAAACTCCGTGTCCTGCTGCTTCCACTTCTCGCCATCCATGATGCGAGGCAGCTCCATCTTCGTCAATTCAGTGTCCGTAATCAGCACTGGTTGGGTAGCAGGGGGTGGGCAGCAGGGTGGGCAGCCACACAGCACGACAGGATGTCAGCTGGAATGTGGGTCAAATGCATACACATGCGCAAGCGTGCGCACACGTACTCTTACGTGCAGACGCACGCATACATCACACGCACGCATCGCACACACACACACACACACACACACACACACACACACACACACACACACACACACACAACAACACACACACACACGCAGTTGTTCTCGTGGCTCCAGCAGTTCTGTAAACTCCAGTCGTTGCCCTGAACGTCCATGATCAAGGTGTCGCACGTGTCAGTCAACACAAAGCAACACACGCTCTCGGCCACCTCCATGCAGCACGAGCAACCGCTCATCAACTGCTTACCATTGAAGACTCTGAGGGTTGGCAGCTGTGACCGCAATAGCTCAAGGTCGATGGTGCCTGGTGTCATTCCAATCAACCACACCAATGCCAGCGAGTGGTTGTTGAGAATGACAATGAAGAACAAGTATGTGAAAAACGGCATGGCCTATTGCACCACATGCCAAACGCACGAGTTCATGCACACACACACACACACACATGTACACACACACACGCACATGCACATACACACATGCACAAACACACACACATACATACATACAACCGTTCAAGTACGGAAACAAAGAAAGTTAAACACAACAATCCAGTTTCAACCACAAACACGGTCACGCACATGCACATTCAAGAGGCGAGCCTGCAACACCAGAAGCGTGTGTTATCCACACACAAGTTCACACACCTTCGTATGGGAGGTCTTTGGTGGCAATATCGAGGCGGACGAGACTGTGGAGGCTCCTGATGTCGTTGAGGAGAGCGGAAAAGTCGGTCGGGAGCGGGTTGCCGGCGACGCGGAGCGTGGTGAGCTTGCTGAGGGAACGAATGTCCTTGAGGGACGAGATGCGGTTGTTTGTGGCGTCGATACTGGTCAGTTCCGTCAGGTTGCTCAAGGCTCGCAAGTCGTGCAGCATGTTCCCGGCGAGCGAGAGCGTTGTTAAGCGCGTGCACTTGGACAAGGCTGCCACGCTGATCAGCTCCATGTTGTCCAACACCAGCGTTCGCACGCTCGCAGGCTCATACTCCCCGCTCACCCGCACAATATCATGGTCTGCCAGCGCCATCTCTCTCGTCGCTGCAGCAGTCGCAGCTTTCCTGCTTGCTTGCTAGCCTGTGTCAAAGGACTCAAGGCAGCCCCAATGGAAAGAGAGAAAACAGACGAAGAGACGCAAAGGGTTTGAATGCACCACCACACACCACACCACACCACAACCTCCACCTTCCTTCCTCCTGTGCTTGTTTGCCCAAACGTGCGCGGCGGTTACGGAAGAATAGTGGAAGATATTAACAATTGGCGCTGACGACGAGCCGAAATTTTCGCCTGGCGCACCACCACGACCAAACACAAACAAGGCAGCCGCCATCAAACACACACACGAGGGTGGCACCGTGCCAGAACAAGGAGGAGGAAGTGAGTCACAAGGGAGGCAAGGAAGGAGGGAGGAAGGAGGGACATCAATAAGGAAGCAAGCAAGCAAGGAGGAAACAAACAAAGACCATGGTCAAGAAAGGCAAGAAAAAGTCCGGCGGCAAGAAGGTGTGTGTGTGTGGGTGTGTGCATGCGCATGCAGGCACGCATGTTGATATGATGATGATGATGATGGTGGTGGTGGTGGTGGTGGTGGCGGCGGCGGCGGCGGCGGTGGTGGTGCCGTGGTGCCGTGGTGTCATACAGCGCCAAAGGTGGGGAAATTTGCTTCACGCTTCAACGACCCTCACGGCACCTGGTTCATGTTGATGTGTCTGATGTAAACACACGTGTGCAGGACTCCAAATCAAAGGAGCCGTCAGCCATGCAGCTGCAGATGCAAGAGCTGGCCAAGCGATTCTGGGTACGTGCGACACTTGAGACAGCACGCTGTGTCGTCTCTGTGAAGCTTAAGCGACAGTTCTGGCATGGTAGATGACGGACACTCCCCCTCCCTTTTCCATTCATCTCTCGTGCTGCTTGTGGTTGGCCCGTTATCTAGGCTGGTTATCAGAAGCGTCTCACTGCAGCAGGCCAACAAGCCATACCAGGTATGTGTGTGTGCGTGTGTGCGTGTGTGGGCATGTGGGGGGTGTAGGGGTGTGTGGGGGTGTGAGTGTGTGTGTGACATGCAGGCAGGGACAGAGACATGCTGACAGGGACAGGGGCGGAGGCTGCGTGAGTGCTCCGTTGCATATTGATGGGCAGGTGCATTGAGAAGCACACTTACGACACCTTTCGGTTGCGTGCTTCTTATTACCAGCTGTGGAGACGGCTGTCAAGACAACCATCAAAGATTGTGCCCCGTTTGTGCATCTCGTCGTGGACAGCGTTGAACTCTACACAACACAAAACCCGCAATCGAGGTAAGCATGAGCATGTGTTTGAGTTTGTGGCGGTGGATATCCAAGCGTGTACGAAGCTTGAGCGCTGCCAGCTTTGACAGAGAAACACATGCACACGCGTACGTCACACGCAACACTAAACTCAACGCATTGTGCATGTGCACGAATTCCCCACGTCCAACAGACTAGCGCCGTTATTCAATGCGCTGTTGGAGACTGGCTATCCATTTCTGCAGGAGCTGTATCTGTGGAACCTAACGCTGCGCAACGAAGATGCAGCTGTGCTGTCAACCTACCTGCGCCAGCGCCGTGATTTCACCAAGTTTGAGATGCTTGGCTGCAAGTTTGCAGACACGCGTGGGTTGGCAACGCTCGCTGAAGGGCTTGGCTTCAACAAACACATCACCCAGATTAACATGTCCTTTATCAAGCTCGGGTCAGAGGGCGTGCGCCTCTTGGCACTCGGTAAGGGGTGTCTGTCTGTCTGTCTGTCTGTCTGTCTGTCTGTCTGTCTGTCTGTCTGTCTGTCTGTCATTCAACCCCAGCTTGATCAAACGCAATCCTTGCCCTCACCACCGTTATCTTCTTCACCGCCATCACCCCTTCAACCACCGCCATCAGAGCTGGCCCACAACGAGATGCTGCGCAAGCTGCGGCTGCACCGGTGTTCACTTGATTCCCACGCAGGCGAAATTCTCTTCCGCTACCTCTCGGCTGTTCCGCTTACACACGTCGACCTGGAAGGCAACACCCTCGGGCCCATCGGTGAGCACGTGCTGCAACCTAGTGTGTGTATGTGTGTGTGTGTGTGTGTGGGGGGGGGGTGGGTGGGTGGGTGTGGGTGTGGGTGTGGGTGTGGGTGTGGGTGTGTGGTTGGCTTTGTTTGCGATCTCTATCTGTTCGTTCATCTGTCCCTCCGTCTCTCTGTCCATGCGGCTCGTCCGCGCTGCTCTTCGCTCATACACATTGTTCCGATCGTTCCTGTCTCCCTCTCCCCGTCCCCTCTCAACACGTCGTGTTCGGGTGTGACCTCCTCCCTCTCCCCACCTGCTCACCGTCATTCCACAGGTCTCCGTGACATTTCCAAAGTTTTCCCCGCGAGCGATGTGCTGCAGGAGGTCTGTTGTGTTGCGTACGCTTTTGTGTGTGTGTGTGTGTGTGTGTGTGTGTGTGTGTGTGTGTGTGTCTGTGTCTGTGTGTGTGTCTGTGTCTGTGTCTGTGTCTGTGTCTGTGTCTGTGTTGCTGGGAGTGCCGAGTGGCCGTGGTTCTGTTGGCGCCTCAGAACACTTCATTGCATGTCTCACCCCCCCCCCAACACGCAAACACGCCCACAACCACAACCCCGCACATGCTATCCCTCCAGCTGTCACTGCAGGAGAATGGCATCGATGTTGCAGAGTGCAGTGAAGAGGATATGCATGCAGGCATTTCGGGCATGTGCGAGAACATTTTGCAAAACTCAACACTCAAGACTCTCAACCTCTCTTTCAACACCATCGGCGACACATACGGACAGATGATCCTGGACGCGCTCAAGCAGCGCAAGGAGAAAGGTGCGCTGCCTCACTGCTGTATAAAAACGTGGGGGTGCGAGGGGGGAGGGGGTTGCGCGGGTGTGCGTACGTGTGTGTGCGCGTATGTATGTATGTATGTACGAGTGTACTTGTGTACGTGTGTGTTTGTGTGTACGTGTGTATACGTGTGTGTATATGTGTGTGTGTATTTGTTGTTGATGCGGCTGAACCGCTGTGCTTCCTGTTGCTTCCCATTTCCGCTCACACAATACACTTACACACACAACACACACAACACACACATACACACAACACCACGGCGCACCCCAGGGCTGCCCACTGTGACGATCAAAGTCGGGCATCGAATGCGGAGTGAACTGTATGAGGCAATTTCAGCTGCGGGGAAATTAGCGAAGAAGGGTGGGAAGAAGAAAAAGGGCGGGAAGAAGAAGAAGAAAAAGTAGCGTCCGCGCACACGTACGCATGTGCACGTGTTCACGTTTGCGTGCGAGCAGCTGTGCACTTGTGTGTGTCGCAGCCAGTACCTTGCTTGCTTTCCCTTGTCCCTTCTTCCTTCGCGTGCTGTCTCTCCTGTCAGTGTGATTAGCTAGCTGAAACCCCTCTTGCTTTGGCTGCTCTTGCCTTTGCTTTGTGCTGATGGTTTCTTATCCCCTGTTCATACGATTCTGCTGCTGGTGCTGTCGATACTCTGCGTCATGCGCCTGTTTGCGTGTCACTGCCGCACTTGCCCCCCCCCCTACACACACACCTTCAGCCATCTTCTCCCTCACCCCGCCCCCCCTTTAGCTGCTTAGCTCGTCCTCGTTGTGCAAGCGCGTCAAGATTGGCGTTGAGTCGCTTTGTTCATGATGTGTCGTCAACTGTAAAAACAGACACGCAAGCAAAGCGAGGAGACATTCGCACAGGGATACAAGAAGACCATACGGCACACAAAGGCGAGATGTAACACCATCCACATCCACAAGCACAATGAACGCACCAAACAGAACAAAAAACCAAAACCACCCGCACTTGAGAATGAAACCAAGCACCAGTGCATGGTAGCACAGCAAATCAAGGCATCCATCACTACAGGTCTGCTCATGATACACAATATGACGGAAAGTGTAATCCCCCCTCCACACACACACACACACACACACACACACACACACACACACACACACACACACACACACACACACACACACACACACACACACACACACACACACACACACACACGCACGCACACAATCACACAATCACACAATCACACGCACAATCACACACGCACAATCACACACAACCACATCACACGAGCGTGCAGGACGAGGAGCATGTTGGCGTGGCTACCGCTTGTAGATGGTGCTGAATCTTGCACCACTGCCAGATCGCTTCTTCATCCACGCCGGGCGCGTATCCCCATCATCACCACTATCGTCCTTCCTCGGTCCCTGCTGGTGCTGCCGGAACTGTGCGGAGGACACGGCAGCTGTGAAGCTTGGTTTGCGCGACACCTGGCGTGACGACCGCCCACTGCCTGGCACCGACGATGCTGCTGACGATGTGGTGGACACGCCGCCAAACCGCGCTGCCAGCCCGAGCACACCGCCACCAGTCTGCCCAGGGGATGATGACGGCACATGCGACGCAGTGTCCGATGGTGCGGGTGCCGCTGTTGTTGTGGAGGCAGCGGGCGTGCGCGCTGGGCCACCACCAACACGAGGCGAGGACGACGTTGCTGTTCCTGCTGTTGTCGTTGGTATTGAAGCTGTTGTGCCTGATGATGAAGGGGTGCGCTGCAGCCTGCGTCGTGGTTTGTTGACAACGGCACTGTCGCTGCCACCACCAAATATCTTCATGCGATCCATCACACCGCGGAACCGGGTCCCGCTACTACCACTCGAAGCTGTTGCCTCCTCCTCCTCCCTTTGCTGCTGCTGCCCCTGCTGCCCCTGCTGCTGCTGCTGTGGTGCTGATGAAGGTGGTGGCTGTGTGGTTGGTGGGACGGCGTTGAGGCTGCCACCCCGGCTGAAGCGGCCGGTGGGTGACACGGTCGCCGGCTGCGGTGCACCGTGCGGGGCTGTCGATGTCAACGCTGACGACGACGACGGCGGCGACGATGGCATACGCTGCTGCTGGTGCTGGGTGTGTTGATGCTGTGGAGGCTTGGCATCCTCAACGGGGATGTCACCACTGCGCCGCCGCATGGCAGCTGCCCACCGAGCAACAACACCACCGCCGCCGCCGCCGACGCCACCGACGCTTGGGGCAGACGCATCTGTGCTCGTTCGTCGGGACTGTGATGTTGATGATGCAGCAGCAGGAGGGGGAGCAGCAGTGAATGATGGACGCCGCCCTGCTGTTGCTGTTGCTGTTGCTGTTGCTGTTGCTGCTGTTCGTGTTGTTGTCGCCGGCTGCTGTTGCTGGTGTTGGTGTGTGGCGGGTGCTGTGGCGGAAGAGGCGGATGAGGATGACAGCCTGCGAGGCGATTTGGAGGCGAGTGTGCGTGGCTCCTGGTTCCATGTGGGTGCAGTTGACGCTCCACCAAACATGGCCATGCGTGCCCGCAGCCCGAGCCCACCAGACCGCATCTGCGCCTCTGCCGACTCTGCAGCCTGCCGCTCCTGTGGTGGTGGTGAGTGGTGGTGATAACAATGGAAGAAGCGTGAGGGGAGGGGTGCGAGGTGGAAAGCGAGCGGTGCACGCGCACACATACACACACACACATACATACACACACACACACACAACACACACACACAACATACACACACAACATACACACACCAGGCCTTCAAGTCCACCCGCACGTACCCTCTCGAGTGCGGCTGCGCGCTCCTCAGCCTGCTGCACGAGCTGTTCCTTGGGCACATTGGGCATTGCAGAGGGGACAACAGGCCCGGTTGCCCCAACAATCCCCGCTGGTCGACGCACGCTCGGGCCCCGCACACCACGCAGCGACGTCTGCGGCTGCTGCTGCTGTGGCTGCTGTTGTGGCTGCTGTTGTGTTGCTGTTGCTGCTGCTTGGTGGTGGCCCTGTGGAGGGGATGTGGCGGCTGTTTCACGTGCCTGCTGCTGTTCACGTTCGCGCTGTTCATGCTCGCGCTGGCGTTGCTCTTCTTCCTCCTGCTGCCTCTTCTGCTGTTCATGCATGACTGCAGCAGATAGGGTTGTGTGTGTGCGTGCGTGTGTGTGCGTGTGTGTGTGTGTGTGTGTGTGAAAACACACAAACAGCAAAAGACAAAGTACAAGCACACACACACGCGCGCGCGCACACACACGCACACCACGGCAATCATGGAACAGACAAGCCAAGCAAACAGCCAATCAGTGGTAACATCATTTATGACATACATCGAAGGCTGGGTGGAACCCACTCCTCAGGCTGGTCCCGCCAGTCACGCTGATGTTGCTGCTGCTCTTGCTGATGTTGCTGCTGCTGTGGCGGTGACTGCGTGCTTGGAGCACCAGAGTCGACACTAGCAGCAGTGCTTGGTGTTGTGGCAGCAGCAGCATGTCGGGTCGCTTGCAACGGCTGTTGCTGTTGTGACGGTGGTGGTGGTGGTGTCACAAGCTGCTCCTGACTCCTTCGCCGCGCCGCCTTGCGAGCCATCAGATCAAGCTTCCACTGGGGGATGGTGCCCACCTTGGCTGGTGTCGATGATGATGACGACGACGACGAGGCAGGCGGCATGGAGGTGGCGGTGGTCGAAGAGGCGGCAGCGGCTGTCTTGCTTGGCAAAGGCGATGCTGCCTTGGCTGGACTCGTGCTTGCAGGCAAGAACTCCCGTCGCTCTTCCTGCTGGTGCTGTTGCTGCCGCTGCTGCTGCGGCTGCTGTTGCTCACGCTGCACTGTCGGCCTCGTCTCCTGCTCCTCGACCGCCTTCTCTTCCTTGTGCTCTGGGTCGTTCACCTGTGGAGCTGCCCTTGTCTTGGCAGCGACGCGTGCCTCCTGCAGTGCCGCCGTGCGCGTGAGACTGCTGCGTCGCCGCTGTACGTCCTCCTGCATCTTCTTCTTCATCTCCTCCCGCTTGCGCTGCTCGTCCTCAGAGACGGGTGCCCGTGGCGACGGTGCCTGCTGCCGCTGCTTGGCCACAAACGACTGCAGCATTGCCTTCTGTTCCTCCTCCCTCTTCATGCGCCTCTCCTCCTCCTCCCGCTCGCGCTGCCGCTGGGCTTCCTCGTATGCGCGTTGCTCCTCTTCACGTTCCCGCATGATGGCTTCGCGCCGCGCTGCTGCCTCTGCCTCAAACCGCACCACCTCTGCCTCCTCGGCCGCAATCGACTGCAGCTGCTCATCCAGTAGCGAATCGTCCGCAGTTCCTGTATCGCTACGTGCTGTCGCTGCCTGCTGCTCGCGATGAGCGAGGCGGGATGCATCCTTCGCGCCGGCTTCATGCTGCTTCATGGCTTCTTCTTCTGCTTCTTCTTCGGGCTGGTTCGCCTTCTTATCCTCTTCCTCCGGCTTGTGTTCAACATCCGTTTGTGCTTCATGCCCCTGCTGCTCTTGGTCTTTCTCCTGCTGCTGCTGCAGCTGCTCTTGTTCCTGCGGCTTCTCCTGCTGCAGTTGCTGTTGTTGCTTGCGATGTGCGCGCGGAACTGGCAGTGTCGACAGTGGCGGCTGTTCCTGCGTATTCACCTCCGCAACAGGCTCTTCCTGCTTATTCACCTCCGCAACAGGTTCTTCCTGCTCCCGCTGCCCTTGCTGCTTCTGCTGTTGTGGTTCTTGCTGTTCTTGCTGCTCTTGCTGTTCTTGCTGTTCTTGCTGCTCTTGCTGTTCTTGCTGCTCTTGCTGTTGCGGCTGCTTCTGCTCGACAGCTGGCTTCTCCTCGCGCTGTGTAGCCTGCTCCTGCTCCTCCTTCTCCTCCTCCGCCAGTTTGTGCGTCTCGCCCGGCTGTTCCCAAAGCGGCTGCCGGAGCGGGGAGCGCCCCAGCGTGCCCACACTGGCGCGCGCAGACGGCGTTGGGGAGATGATGACTGGGGCCGTGCTGGTCGCTGTCTTCGCGGGCGTCACAGGCGCACTGTGGCGGCGAGACTTGCCAGTCATCGCCTGCAAGGGGTGGGGGAGCAGGTGGAGTAGATGGAGAAGGTGGGGGAAGGAAATGTATACATGACGGAAGGATAAAGGTTGTACAAGTGAGCAATAAAGAAAGGAGAGAGGAGGATGATTCAAGAATAGCTGTCACAGAGCAAATGCACGTGCGCACGCAACAATGCAGACACCACTACCGCTGCTACTACCACAACGACTGCCACTTCCATGCTCCTACCTGCAGCGTCTGCTCGTGCTTCTTCTGTGCGCTCTCTCGCTCCTTCTGACGCTGCTTGCGCCTCTCCGCCCGCTGCCGCCGCTTTTCCTCCAACTTGCGCTGCCGATCCTCGCCTTCCTTCGCAAGCCGCGCCTGCAAAGCGGTGCACAGCATGGTGGTGTTGTTTGGTACGGTGGGGTTGTTTGTGTGTGTGTGTGTGTGTGTGTGTGTGTGTGTGTGTGTGTGTGTGTGTGTGTGTGTGTGTGTGTGTGTGTCAGTGGAGTGGAGATGAGGAGTCAGTAACGACTTCGACGTGCTCGTACGTGAACGCAAAGGCAGCATCATCATCTTCTTCATCATCACCATCATCATCATCATCATCATCATCATCATCATCATCATCATCATCATCATCATCATCATCACAACACACGTACACACACCCAGGCACACGCAAACACACGCACCTGGAGGTCCGCCTGCATGGCGGAAGAGTCGAGACACGCAAACACACGCACCTGGAGGTCCGCCTGCATGGCGGAAGAGTCGAGAGAGACACGTGGCGAAGACATGGCTGACATGGGCGACAGCGGCGTAAACGTGATGGGCGTGTTTAGCGCGCTGCCCGTTGGTGTCTCTGTGGAGGTTGCAGCCGCTGGTGTCACGGGTGTGGCTGGGGTGACTGCAGAGGTGGTGGTGGCTGTGGCGGTGGGAGGCTTGACGGGAGTTGTTGGCTCTGAGGCCATCGCAGCAGCACGCTGCTTGGCTTCTTCCTCCTCAGCTTCTTTCCTCTTCCTTGCATGTTCCTCCTCCTCAGCTTGCTTCCTTGCAGCCTCTTCCTCTTCCTTCTTCTTCCTCTCTTCCTCTTGCTCAGCTTGCTTCTTGGCTGCCTCTTCTTCAGCTTGCTTCCTTGCAGCCTCTTCCTCTGCAGCTCGCTTCTTGGCAGCCTCCTCCTCCTCTTCCTTCTTCTTCCTCTCTTCCTCTTGCTCAGCTTGCTTCTTGGCAGCCTCTTCCTCCTCAGCTTGCTTCTTGGCTGCCTCCTCCTCTTCAGCTTGCTTCCTTGCCTCCTCCTCCTTCCTCTCCCGTTCTTCCTCTTCGGCTTCCTCCTTTGCCTTTCTCTGCCTCTCTTCCTGTTCCGCCTGCCTCGTCCTTTCGGCCTCCTCCTCCTCCTCCTCTGCTGCTGCTGCTGCTGCTTGCTTCCTCCTCTCTTCCTCTTCCTCCCTTCTGGCTTGCTCGTCGTCTTCGGAGTATTCGTCTGTCGCCGTCTCTTCGCCCGTGAACGAAAACGTAATCACGCGGCGTGGTCGTCCCTCCTCCTGTTAACACACGCACGCACACATACGCACGCATGCGCACGTAGTGCAGTGTGAATGAAGGCATCTTGCTCCATGTGCAGTGAACGACGACCACAACATCACCGACAACAGCGACAATACAGCACAGCTTCGCCACAGCGACACAATGACAACAACACTGACACATTCGTCATTGACCAGCGCCCCGTACCTCTTGTCTGATCTCAGCCATTCTCTTCTCAAACTCTTCCCGCTCCTTCTGCAGCTCTTCTTGCTGCGCCTGAACACACACAGATACGCACACGCACATGTGCACATGCACGAGTTGGTGAGAAGAACACAGCCGAAGCAATCATCATCATCATCATCATCACCATCACCATCATCATCATGATGAATACCTCGAGTTCCGACTCGATGAAGTTTCGCTCGACGTCCACGTCCTCCCCACGCTCGTACTCGCCCTGCGCATACGTGTACGCAACCTCAACCTGGTAATGTGATGTGGTGGGTTGAAGAGTTGTGGATTGACAGCAAAAGCTGAGGTGAGCGCGGATGATTCAATGCCCGTCAAACAAGACGCAAACACACGCACACATGCACACGCGCACACATGCACACGCAAGCACGAACGCACACTCTCTCATTCTCTCACTCTCACACGCGCGCACACGTACGTCCTCTGAGAAGCTGACGCTTGACGATGCACGGCGGCGAAGGCGAGCCGGATGTGCCGCCAAATTTGAATCTCTGCTCCCGGGCCGGGCAGGCACGCTTGGGGCTGCGTAGGGCGACGTGGCAGGAAACGTGTCGTCTTGCTCGGACGGCCGCTTCTCCGATGGCGCTGCGTGTGTCTGTTCAGCAGCTTGTGCAGCATCGGTGTTGCTTGCAGGCACGGCGGCTTCATGAGAGACGCCGTCGTGCTGGTTCGTTTCGGCGGCACCACGACCATGCTCATCATCACCACCATCACGTCGTGCATTGCGCTCCTCCTCCTCCTCCTCCTCTTCCTCTTCTTCCTCTTCTTCGTCGTCGGTGTCCTGGCACATTGCGAGCTCGGACGCGGAGGGGCGGGTTGGGATGGTCGGTGCAGCCGATGGCGGTGGCAGTGATGCTGCTGTTGCCTCATCCCGTCGCGGTACTCCCTGCTCCACTTGCTGTTGCTGCTGTTGCTGCTGTTGCTGCTGTTGCTGCTGCTGGTGCTGGTGCTGCTGCGCCTGTGCCCTTGCCTTTTCCTCGGCAAGGCGGACAATGTCTGCTGCGTGCTGCCCCGGGCGCTCCATCTCCACCACCGCCATCAGGTTTGGCGGCAGCTTACCCGGCAGCGGCAGCGATGACATGCGCGCAACCGTGCACAGGTGCATGGCGACGATGAATTCGCCCACGTCCATCTTGCCATCGCGTGACACGTCGCTCAGCTCCCAGATGCGCGCCATCACGGGCTGCGACAGCTGTTTACACGTCGGGGCACAGTTATGGTGGTGGTGGTGGTGGTGGTGGTGGCGTGGTGGTCGTTGTGAGTTTGTAGGGCAGGACAAAGACAGGGTGGAATGGAATCAGGTGACGAGAGAAGGAGTCATCATAACCCCCCCCCCCCCCACACACACACACACACACAACTATGCACACACACACACACATTTACAGGCAACAAAAGAAAGCGCACCGCGGCCTTCTTGAGGATGCTGTGGACAGTGCTTGAGGAGAGGAAGCCATCCTTGTCCGTGTCGCGCTTGGCAAACATCTGCCTGTACTTTGCCTTCAGCTGCGCATTGTGTGTGTGTGTGTGATTGGCGTGTGAGCAAGGGTATTGATCAGTGCGCGCGTGTGCTTGCGTCTCGCTTGTTGTGTTGAAGAAGAGCACGGAGGGAACGCAACAGGCACGCATACACATGCACACACGTACACACAGACACATACCCCTTCAGGAACGTCGGGGAATGCAGGCTTCTGTTGTTGCTGTTGTTGCTGCTGCTGTAGCTGCTGTAACTGGTGTTGCTGTTGTTGCTGTTGCCGTTGCTGTTGTCTGTGTGAATGGTCGTGCTTGGTGCCGTTGGTGGCGGGCGGCGCTGCAGCTCCCGTCACGAGGGCCTGCAAGTTTGGCGGGAGCGTCGACGGCACTTTGTTGCCCCGCATCTGTGACGGTTTCAAATCGGTGCAGGCGTATCGACAACACGGCGTGCGTGATCAGGGGAGGCAAGTGATTTAGTAACCAATTGCACGCGCGCGAAGCATGGCATCAAGCATCACCCACCAGCATCATGACAAAACATGAAGTGGTGCGCGTGTGCACACACATGTACAGACACACATGCGCGCGCATACACACACACAGACACATACCACGCGCACGTATACACACAAACACACACATACACACATACAGACTCACACACAAACACACACACACACACATACAGACTCACGCAATCGGTCACGAGGAACATGGCAGCAATGAACTGCTCCTTGGTCAAGCCGCCACGATGGTCCACATCCACCAGCGACCTGAGCAAAGGGTGGCGAGAATGAGCGTGGTGAGAGGGGTGGGGTGGGCATGGTCGATGTTGCGAGCAAGACAGGCACGTAGGCACGTAATCAAGGGCGGAGAAAGCGCAAAGCAGTGCGATTGGACACGAAACGGACAACTGGCACATGGAGGGACACAAAAACAGAGGCAGACACCGAGACGGACACGCAGACACACAAGCGTGCGCGAACACAGATACATGAGCAGGCACACTACACGCATGCATATGCACACAAACATACATACACGCTACGCATGGACACACAAACACACACTACACACATGTACACACACATACACACACATGCACGCACACATCTACGCACGCATGCACACACACACACATCTACACACGCATGTACACACAAACACACACTACACACATGCACACACACACACACATACACACACGCACCGACACGCAAAAAAATACACACACTACACACACCACATGCACACACACGCAGGCAGGGAACGCACCAGATGGTACCGAGGGTGGCATTGGGCAGCTTGCTCTTGGTGAAGATGGCCCGGCAGACGGCGCCACCGACACGTCCGTCTTTCTCCAAAGGCAGCCTGCTGTGTGTCTTGGCGTGGATGGCGTACTCCGCCTTCCACAGCGCATCGCCATCGCTGCCATTAGAGGAGGCAGCGCTGTTGCTGCTGCTGCTTGTCGTCGACATTGCGTCCCAGGTTGGACGTCACTTCCCACTCAACAACACTGGCAGCTGTTGTGGCGGCGTTGTGATTGATGGATGATGGTAACGGGACAATCACTGGCTGATGTGCCACAAAACCCGATAGCAGCTCAACAGGTTGTGAGAGAACGTGGTTATCTGCCTGTCGCTTGAGTGGGTGACAAGAGAGTGAGCAACCCCCCAAACACAGTGTGCTTGTGTATTCAACGACAGTCCTCGTGTGTTGTGGGTGTTGCGGATGTTGTTGACAAGAAGCTGGCAGGGCCTTTGGGCTTTGTTGGTATCCGCTGCTGGCTGGTGCTCTTTTGTTTTTCCTCTCCACACCACCAACAAAACAAAAACTTGAAAATTAATCAATTTTTGCTCTCATCTCATTGGCCTATTTGGCGCTGTGGGGTGTTGTGGGATTTGGGGGGTGTTGTGGGATAGTGTTGCAGGAGGATAGAGACAGGCGCACACGCACTCACACACCTACGCAAACACGCGCACACAGAAAAACAAACAGTACAAACACACTCACGCACACACGCACACACTACACGCACACTGCATCGGCGTCTGTTTGTGCTTGTATTGCTCAGAAACATCATGTCACATACGCACGACGGCACTCCGCACAGGACGAAAGGTGCTAGTCACAACTCACACAGCACACAAGACCAACAACCGAGCAACATGATGCGCACACGCCGCACTACGACACATACGATTCAAAGAGAGCGAAGGGCGAACAGGAAGGGGGAGAGGAGGAGGGAGGAAGAGGAGAAGTGATTTGGGGACGTTGGGGGGAGGAACACAAGGAAGAGGAAAAGGGGCAAGAGGAGAGGAAGAAGGGGAAGGCCACCGGTTGGGTAGTTGTTAGGTCAGCACCATCAGACAAGCCGAGTGCTTGCTTACTTGTGGACCATCTCGAACACCTAAACGCAGGAGTGAGCGCAGGTTTACACAGCACAGCGCGTGACGTGAGCAACTCAATTGGCAACAGGACAAGCAACAGGCATCACTGCACACGAACACTAACACACAACACAACACATGCACACCACAGTCTCGGTTTGCCTCGATGAAGACAGCACACATACAAACAAAACGCACACATACAAACAGGCAAGAGGGTGGCGTGAGTGTCAACAGGAGAGAGACGTACGTCGAGGACAAAGTCGTCAGGGAACTCAAAGTCTGCAAGCTGCTCGTCGAGCTGGCCAGCAAAGAGGTCAGCCTCCTTGGACGCCTTGGCAAGGTCGTAGATGGTGGTGGACAGCTCCTGGTCCTTAATGCCAACAAAGTTCTCAAGAAGATCATCAATCTTGTTCACAACCTCAACAACAGCATCCGTTGGCTACACGTGGTTGAGGACAAGAGAAGGTGGCAAGGAGCAACAGACGTGTGTGGTGGCGTGTGTATGGCGAGGTGAGATGGTGATGGCAAACGGCAAACATGAGAGCAAGCGGCTGTGTTTCACTCACGTCACACCAACAGAGCAAGGCACGGGCATGCTGCGATAACTGCTGTGCGCGTTTCCTCTTCACCCTGAACCGTCTTCCCAAACACCTTGCCAACGCTTGCACACAACAGTCCACAACACCCTCGGCTACGTACCACGTCCTCGACGACGGCGTTGCCATCGCGCTTCATGCGCAGCGTCTTCTTGCCGGCGCCGGCCTTCACCTCGCCAGTGCCAGAGGCCTGCCCGCGGGGCTTCATGCCCGCAACCTCATCTGCAACAGTGGGAATGAGGAGGTGTGGTGTGTGTGTGTGTGTGTGTTCGTGTGTGTGTGTGTGTGTGTGGTTGTGTATGTGTATGTGTGTGTATGTGTGTGTATGTGTGTCCATGGGTGAGTGTCTGACAAGACGTGTGGCATACAAAGCTCAAACAGGGACTGTGACACCAAACCAAAAACAACAAGACGCGGAACAAGAGGCCTTTCATCTCGCGTATCGAGCCGCCGCCACCAACAACAACACGGAATAAACCGTGATGAACGCCAATACGTTCAAATCGCTCCCGAACCAACACACTCACATACACACACTCACCGAACGCCTTCTTGGGCTCAACAACGGTCAGGGTGAACTCGGAGCCAATGGGGATCTCCTTGAGCATGCGTGCAACCTCAAAATGGCGGCAGCCGGTGAGGTCTGTGCCGTTGATGTTGGAGATGTGGTCGCCAACGTTGACGTCGTTCACGCGGGACATGATGCTGTCGTCGCGGATCTTCTTGATAAAGGCGTAGCCGGCGCCGTTGTCGGAGATGGTGAGGCCGAGCGCGGGGCCGTCCTTGACGACCTTGACGGGTTTGCTCTGGCCCTTGACGTGTGCAAACAGAAAGTCGTCCAAGCCAATCTGGCCGCCGAGCAGCCGCGTCATGTCGACCTTGTGCGTGTTCAGTGTGCAGTACAGAATCTACAGGGGGGGGGACACGGCGGTGGTGGGCGTGGTGGTTGTGAGGACATGGCGTAAGCTCAAACACAGCATACGCGTGGTGCCAGGGACCAACACGTCCACCAAACTGTACTGGACACAAGGCGAGGTCGCAAAACGTGACGACGACGACAACAACAACAACTTAAACCACAACAACTTAAAAACAACAACAACTTAAAAACAACAACAACAACAACAACAACAACAACAACAACAACAACAACAACAACAACAACAACAACAACAACAACTTCAACTTCAACTTACAACAACAACAACAACAACAACTTAAACAACAACTTCAACAACAACAAACAACAACGTACGTCGCCTGTGGAGAGACCAAACGCCTTGGCAATGGCTTCGTAGAGCTGCTTGACGTTGGTGAAGTCGCGAATCTGCTTTGTGGGGGAGCCGTGGGCAAGCTGGCAGTGGAAGACCATGTCAAAGGCCTCCGCAGGCTGCTGTGCGCCGGAAGGGGCGGCGGGGAGAGGTGCGTCCTTGGGCATGATGACGGTGGAAGCTGTGTGCGCGTGGGAATACACTGCCAGAGAAAGCAAGGGAACCACGCAGGAAAGAGGTGGCAAGGAGCGGAGGAGGGAACGCGGGGTTGTGAGAGGCGACAAACAAGTCTTGACAGAAGGGAAAGGGAGGAGGGCGAGCAACACAACGCAACAAGACAACGAAACTGCAAGCTTGAGGAAAGAGGAAAGGAGTGGGAAAGATGCAGGATGTACAGACGCAGCAAGCACGGAACAAGCCAGCGAGACTGCTGTTCTCTCATTGACACAACAACATGACACACAACACAACACAACATATTGTTGTTGTTTTGGTTGTGCTCAGTGTAGAGAGCAGTGGACGTGCTCACACCACCACATACACTACGTCGTGGCTCTCTCTCTCTCTCTCTCTCTCTCTCTCTCTCTCTCTCTCTCTCTCTCTCTTTTCACACACACACACACACACACACACACACACACACACACACACACACAAACACGCACACCCACACACACCCACACACACACACACACACCATCACTCCTTTTGCGGCGCAACAGCCACCACCCACTATCACCACTCACCAAACAACAGTCGAAACCGAGCGAGGAAAGACGACACAGGCAAACAGGGTGGAATGAATGCAACGCAGCCTTGGCAAAGGAAAAGTCCAGTTTGGCAAGGGCGTGAGGGCGGAGACGCTTTTTTTGCGCTCCACCCATTGTTCACGCCCCTTATTCGGTTTGTTCTGCACATCTTCAACGAATCGTCATGACGCACATTATTAATGATACCCACGATTCATCGCACTCTACAAACGGCATGCGACAGCACGAGTTTCTGTTGAACTGAATTAAGTTCTTCCTTGCCGTTTCCAAGAAGTTTTCCGCTGATCGTCGGATGTCCGCTAAAATAACCAACACAACGCAGCCCTTGACCACAAAACACCACACACAACACAACCAAACAACAACAAGGAGGAAACTGGGGCGGTTGCTGTGTGCTGTGGGTGTTTGAGCAAACAACAGACGAGCTGTGCTGCTGCTGCTTGTGTGATCATCATCATCCTCATCGTCGTCGTCGTCGTCATCATCATCATCAGCATTCGCAGCAACAGCCATCCAGCTAACACCTCACATCCAACAGCCACCAACGATTCATGCAGCGAGCAGCGATACAAACAGCAAGCAACGATAGCATACATACATCCGTCAACAGCACGTTTCCTCACTCGCTAGCAGTGTCACGCGCGGCGTGTTTCCCCTTTTCCAACTCTGCCATGTTCGTTGTGCCAACAGCACATGACAAGACGAAGAAGACCCATCCACAGCAACAGCAGCAGCAACAGCAGCAGCAACAGCAACAGCAACAGGCTTGGAACAGCATGGATGTCGCCGATGACATCAACATCTGCCAGCAAAAACAACAGCAGCAGCAAGTACAAGAACCAGCGCAAAGTGCTGCGCTGACATCCACAGAGACGGCAGCAGCAAAAACAACGTTACCATTCTTGCCAGCAACCTCAAACACAAAGGCAACAGCAGCACAGGTGGCGGCGGTGACGACGGCGCTGTTGGCGTCCTCCCTCGCAACACCAAAGCCACTGGCATCCTCGGGATCGTCCTCCCCAGCCAGATCAGCAGCGGGTTCATCTCCAGCCTGCAGCCCACCGGTCTCTGTGCGCTCATCGTCATTTGCCCTCACCTCCAGCCCTTCCTCACCGGGCTCCCCGCCGCCGGCCATCGGCATGGAGCACTCCCAGCCCCAGCAGCACCAAATGCAACCCCAGCTTCAGAGCAACCACAATGCACAGCCAGCCGACAACAGCAGTAACACTGTACTGACGCTTGAAGCGCCCGTAGACTCGCCGTACTCTGGCGCCGCCTTCAACCTTGTCTGCGATACAGCAGCCAACACCCTCACGTGGGCATCGCCCATTTACCACCCTGCTTTTGAGCAAGGCAGCCGCGTGTGCGCATGCGTGACTGGGTCCACACGTGCCGTCGCTGACGCAGAGGTGCAGCGGCGCATCCGTGCACTGCTGTCCAACCCGGATCTGTTTCGGCCGTGCTCCAACTGTCAGCACGTCAACACGACCGCGTACACAGAGGCGCAGGCGGACCCAGAATTCTTCCGGCGCAAGGCCCGCGCCCACACCCCCGCAGCTGCACCGCCCAGTGACGACGACCTGCGAGCAGTCACTACGCCCAAGATGACATCGTTTGATTTCTCCATGCTCTTGCGGACTGGCATCTACAGTGACGTGCGCATCGTGAGTTCATGCGTCTGTTTGGGGGGGGGGCTTGCGTATACACGTACGCATGTGTGTGCATATATTCTGGGGTGACAGATGCTGCCTGTGCAACGTGTCTGTGTCCATCATAGTTCCTTCCCGCCCACATTCGCTCACATGCACACATGCACACGCGTGAAACCCTTCACGCTACCTGCCAACAGAAGGCGGGCAGTGCCAAGACGGTGTTCAAGTGCCATCGAACCATCCTGGCAGCAGGCAGTCCCGTGTTTGCCGCGCACTTTGCCACGCAGGCCGATCACGGGGTTGTGACCCTCGATGTCGCTCCACGAACCTTGGCACACGTGCTCCACTACATCTACTCGCAGCGCCTGCCACGCATGGCGTCCATGGATGTATTGGACTGCATTCACCTCCTCCAGCTCTCCCTCAAACTCCGTGTGCCCGCCCTTGTCAAGTTTACCGTCGCCGCCCTGGTGCGTCCTGCGTGCATGTGTCTGCCTGTCTATTTGCATGCGTATGTCTCTGTGTGTCTGTGCGTGTGTGTGTGTGTGTCTGTGTCTGTGTGTGTATGTCTGTGCCTCCGTGTGTCTTGTCTGTGTCTCTGTGTGTCTGTGCCTCCGTGTGTCTTGTCTGTGTCTCTGTGTGTCTGTCTGTATGTCTGTGCGTTTATTCGTCTGCGCCAACTGCATCCACTCTCATCACTTCAAGTGCGCTACTCTCACGCTCACGATCTCAACATACGCAAATACCAACAAACAAACGCAGCGTGCGGCGTGTGTTGGCCAGGAGGGACCGCTTGTTGTGTGCGAGCTGCAGCGGTGTGGGCTCGACAAACTTGTACTGCACATGCGTTCGAGCGCGGCAGCAAAGGCGACAGCACAAGCTGGCAGTGGCGATGAGGAAGTCGGTCTTGGCGGTGACGATCACATGGGTGGCGCAGAAAACAACAACCAGCAACAAGAACAGCAGCAGCAACAAGAACAGCAGCAGCAGTATGGAAGCGACGATGGGCATGTAGCTGCAACAACAGGGCAGGTGGATCAGGTAGACACGAGTGAGATGCAGGAGCAGCAAGGTGGCAGGCGGCAGCAGGAGCAGACCACAGAGACGGGTATTGAAGTGGGCGGTGGGCACTACGCTGGCCAGCACAACGACCCGCAACAGATTCAGAATGACAGAATGGTAACCGCTACAGATGACAATGACGATCAACAACAACAACAACAACAACAACAACAACAACAACAACAACAACAACAACAACAACAGCGGGTGCCTGTTTCGCGTTACGAGCAGCGAAGGCCCTGCGGATCGTTCCCTCGCGCCAATCGCATGCGCAAGCGACGCCCAAGCCCATACAGCCTCGGCCTATGCATGCACTAGACAAGAGTTGGTGGAGCCTATTGGTGTAAGCGAATTGTGCAGTAGATTTGGATGTTGAAGCGTTTGTGTGTGTGTGTGTGTGTGTGTGTGTGTGTGTGTGTGTGTGTGTGTGTGTGTGTGTGTGTGTGTGTGTGTGTGTGTGTGTGTGTGTGTGACAGACGGGGTTATGTTCGAGCCTCTTTGCTGCCACTTCCCACCATTGTTCCTTGCACGCACATGGTATTATAAGCGTTGACCAAACGAAGCTAGACCATCCATCAGCCAGACTGCCGTTCAAATAAAGGCCAGATTGCACTTTTAGACACTGCTCCCCATCACTCTGTTGGTGACACGCGTCAAGAGATCATGCATTGTCGCGTGGGGCTTTATATGGATCCAAACATTACCCGAGAGACTGACACATGGTGCACATTGGCGACCACGATGAACGTCAGGGTGCAACAACAACAACAACAACAACAACAACAACACCAGCAACACAACAACTTAAACAACAACTTAAACAACAACTTAAACAACAACAACAACTTAAACAACAACAACAATAACAACAACTTAAACAACAACAAAACCGCGTCGTGCACCGTCACGTGTCTCATGCTTGGGAGAGCATGTTGAGTATGCGTGCTTCGTGTTGGCGCGCTTTCCTGCTGAAGAGAACCAGCAGGCCATCCACACTGTGCGCATGCACGTCTGCCTTCTCCACATCCACGACGCACGTGTCTCCAATGCGAATCTGTCCAGCCTGGCAATACACCAGTGCCTGCGCGATGTTCTTGCTGGAGGTGTGGCTCACAGATACACGTCCCTGCAGTTGCAGAAGGAAGGTTGTCAGAGGGGCAATGTGCAATCACCATTGCACAGTGTGGTGTGGTGTGTGTGTGTCGTGCGTTGAATGCGGTATTTAGCGAGTGCTGAGCATGTGGTGGGTGGAATGAACCGTGAAGCACGTACGACGAGGACCAAAAGAAACAAACCAAGACAACACACATTGTTCATGCATGCACAGCAGTGAGTGTGTTGTTGAACAACACTCAACGATACATCACATCCCACACACTCGCATGCATACACACACGTACAAACGCATCACATCATCACAACCAGAGGGCACATCACGCATTCCACACGCGCTCCATGGACATGAACTCACCGAATCCAGCTTGAGTTGGGCGGTGTCGACAACAACAACACTGCTGCTGCTGCTGCTCGCCAATGCCGTTGATATGTTGTCTCTGAGACTGAAGGTCAGTGTTGCGCGGTTGTGGCCACCACCGTCTTCAAGTGCAACTGGGGAACACGCAATGTTGTGGTCTGCGAGGGTGGTGCGCAACAGCTCCTGCTCTGCGTCACCACTGCACATGCACACCACGGCGCCACGGTGCTGCTGTTGTGTGCCGCCTCTCTGGAGTTGGAACTGGGTGGCTTGTGCTGATTCGTCGCCTGCCGTGTCGTGGTAGGTCTGGGGCATGCTCGCGATGCCATCCGCGGCGCCGTGCATGTATGCCCGCAGCCAGGTGTACACGGCCTTCACGCGTGGCGATGTGTGCCGTGTCTGCGCAGACAACATGTCGTCTGCACTTGCTGGCGCATAGGGCGCCGGTTCGCTGCTTGTCTGCTTCAAACTGATCACGCGTTCGCTGTCCTCAAAGTACCTATGGTGCATGCGTGTGTGTGTGTGTGTGTGTGTGTGTGTGTGTGTGTGTGTGTGTGTGTGTGTGTGTGTGTGTGATGACCACAATGCGTAGTTGCGCGCATATACATATATATATATATATATATATGTGTGTGTGTGTGTGTGTGTGTGTGTATGCTGAAGGGCAGTTGAACGTGGATGAAGTGCGTGCGTGGGTTCGTGCTGTTGATTTTGGCGCATGCATACGCACATGCGCGACCATGCATACTTGATGAGGGGAAACGTGTTGGATTGGTGCATCTGCGATCGCTTCTGCAACCGTCGCACATCTTCCTCGTCCGGCTAAAGCAAATTGCGATGATCGTGTTAGGTGGTCGTGATGTTGGGCGAGGTGATGGTGTTGGATGAGGTGCGGATGAGATGGTGAGATATTGGAGAACGAAGTGCGTCGCATATGGCTTGGTTGATTGCCAGGCACAGGAACGCATGTGGATGCAGACACAGGCATCTGTACAACTAGGGCAACAACAAAGCTGTCAGACCAACAAGCACAGCCAATCAGCGCGTCACTCACAAGTGTGTTTGCGCGTTTGAGGGGTGTTGTCACAGCACTGCTCTCAAGATGCAGGGCAAACCGAAAGCGTTGCACCTGTGGTGAAACGCATAGTTGTGCGTGTGTGTGTGTGTGTGTATGTGTGTGTGTGTGTGTGTGTGTGTGTGTGTGTGTGTGTGTGTGTTGTGTGTGTGTGTGTGTGTGCGTGTGTGTTGGATGTGTGTGTGTGTGTGTTGGATGTGTTGGATGTGTTGGATGCGTTGTACGTGTACATGTGCACATGCGCCGTCGGCAGGTACGTCGACAGGAAGCACCCGTGCAACGAGCCGAGACTACACACACAAACACACACACACACAAACAAACACACACACACGCAAGCGTACTACACACAGACACACACACACGCAAGCGTACTACACACAAACACACACACATATATATGCATACGCCCACCTGCCGCTCGAAGATGGAGAGGTGCTTTGCCGGGTTGCGGAGGAGCGGCGCGCGAGAGAAGACGCGGAGATTTGGGATGAGGTCGATGATGACAAGCCGTGTTCTCTCTGCTGGCGTTGAGGATGGGGCTGGCGTGTTGTCGTCGCATGCAAGGTGCTCTGTCACCAGTTGCATCAACAGTTGCTGCGGACACACACACACACACACACACACACACACACACACACACACACACACACACACACACACACACACACACACACACACGCACACGCAAGGAAGGCCCATCTGGATGAGGGAGCGAGCAGTACAACCTGCGGACAACGCCAGGATGATGTGCCACTCGCAGAGTAACGCGTGCACCATAGACCAAGCGGAGAGAGGGGGGAGAAGACACGGACAGGTGGACAGATTGACAGATGGGACAGACGCAAAGACGAACACAAAGAAAGATACACAGACAGGCTGACACACAGAGAGGGGTTCACAAACTGACACACAGAATGACGCAAAGACATGCACACGCACACGCACACACACACACAGGTACACATGGACACTCACTCACTCACTCACTCACTCACTCACTCACTCACTCACTCACTCACTCACTCACTCACTCACTCACTCACTCACTCACTCACTCACGCATACACACACACCATGGTGAGGGTGTCGCTGGCGTTCTCTGCAAAGTCGAGTGCATCTCGGATGGAGTCCCCCGCAGCGTTCTTCCTCAAGTACCGAATCAACAGCGTTTCGGCACACACGAGCGTCACGTCAAGGCTTGGGTCTTGCTGTATGTGCTGCAGCACCGCGCCTTTGTTGGAGTTTGGTCCACCTGTGTGCATGTTCAAGCCAAAGCAAGTTGGGGTCACCGATGGCGCGTTGCAAACATTGGAAGAGTGAACCTGTACCTGAAAGTACTCTCGTGCGTGTGCACACACAGACAATCACACACACGCACATGTACACACACGCGCACACAGACAATCACACACACGCACATGTACGTACACACAGATAATCACACACACGCACATGTACACACGTACACGCACACGCACATGCACATGCACGTATACGCACGCATGCACACACACACACAATCACGCACAAGCAGAGGCAGGCGCACCGAGAACAATGGCAAGGTTTGGCAGCTTGGCTTTGTTGTCTTGCCCATTGGTGGCGGCGAGCGGAAGCACGCCTGGTTGAACAGAGAGCAGATCGGAGGGGTCCGGCTCTTCTTTGGGAGGTATGGGCGGCGCGTCCACGCGCAGGATGCCTGGCCAGCGCTTGGCCGCAACCATGACCATTCGTTCCCCACCATCTCCGCCGCCGCCTTCAGCAGTCGGACTCTTCTGATGCGATGTGGCAGCGTCCGCTGCAGCAACAGAGGCACACCCACCCATCACCCGCCTCCTTGTGAGCTCGTGCGTGGACAGTAGGGCAGTGTGTGTGCGCGCGCTGAGGTGGTGCTAGCGGTTTGCGATGTTCGAATGGTGGCCTCGACAGGGCGGTTGTTGGAGGGAGCGTTGCTTGATGTGTTGCACTTGTCTCCGTCTCTGTGGGTGTGTCTCTCTGTGTCTGTCTTTCGACGGTCTTCAAGCACTCACTCAGCTGCGAACTGGTGTTTGGTATGGGTGTGTTGTGCTGTCGTCAAGACATGGCTTGCCGCCCGGGCAGGCTAGGGGCAGGGTGTCTGGGTGTCTTGTCAATTCTTCCTCTTCCTCTTCTTCTTCTGTCTCTTCCTCTCGTCCTTCTCGTCGATTTCGTTGTTGTATCGTAGTGGGATCCACTCCATGACACCAGCTCCACCCGCCTCAAGCGTTGGTTGTGGCTGCTTGTGGCCTCACTACACTGCTTCACTGTGCGAAGCCATGAAACGAGGCCAGTGCAGTAGTGCGGAACCACGTGCCAACAATCAAACAGCAAAAGAAGGCAATAACAAAGGTCAAATCACAAAACACCAACGTGTCCGGTGTTTTGTCTATCTATCTATGATGCTATGATGTGATGTTTACGTTCTCGACGCTCGACAACAACAACACCCGCATCGCTCTCGAAGTCTCGAAGTCTCGAAGTCTCGAAGTCCAAGTACCCGATGGACACATACTAACGACACCACGCTCGCGCAGCGTTTGTGTCCGCATATCTGTGTCTGTCCCTTGACATTGCTTGTCGATTGCAAGTTCCCAAGCCCGTGGTGTTTCGACGTGACCTGGGGCCTGCCCCTGTCAACACTAAACGAAAAGCACTTTGAAACCGTCTTGCCCATCGCACTCGGCGTGCACAAGCCAACCCAGACAGACAGGGGAGTGTTTCAAAACGAAAATGAATTGGGTCTGTTCGTGAGAGGTTGTCACTTCATTCCCACACAACAGCGTCAGAGTCAGAGAGTTCACATGTCGTTCGCATGCAGTTAGGGTGGCGCCCCGTTTCAATTAGCGGCGTTCCACGCAAGTCACGCGCTTTCACGTGCATGTCTAAGGCAATCTGCGCCAAACACGAAGCCGGGAGGCTGTTCCATGCTACAAGAAGCAGAAAAAAGAGAGACAGACAGAGAGAGAGAGAGAGAGAGAGAGAGAGAGAGAGACAGAGAGAGAGAGAGAGAGAGAGAGTCAGAGAGAGAGAGAGAGAGAGAGAGAGAGAGAGAGAGACAGAGAGAGAGAGAGAGACAGAGAGACAGAGAGAGAAGGGGGATTCGAGGTTGTTGTTCATGACTGGCTTTCCATGATGACTGGCAACCAGACTTCTTGCTGACTTTGTTTACTTGCTTGCTTGGGGAGTTGCTCGATGACCGATTGAGGATTGAAGTGATGTGACAACCCACAAGGCTTGTGCCTCAAACCCATTCCTCATCTCCCATCACCACCACCCCCCCCATGCACAACACACAGACACACTGCTCCTTCAAGTCAAAAAGACCAAGGACTCGGGCCATGTTTATCGAGAGAACAGTGATCAGCGAAGCATGGCAGGCAGCACAGACATGCTTGCACGCAAGCAAAAGCCGAATGATGGTCGCCAGCCCACCACAAAGAGAAATAACAAAGTACGAAAGCAGAGCAAAGCATAATACGGAAGCACGGAAGCAGTGATGCGTGTGTGAGCGCCCATGGTAGGTCGTTCCTGAGTTCAGGTCAGTTCAGTTCAGCCAGCCATCTTGTGGACTACCTGGAGTTGGTCGTGGTGGGAGGTGTGGGAAAGAACCAGCGCGCAGACGACGAAGGCTGCTGCTGCTGCTGCTGTTGTTGTTGTTGTTGTTGTTGTTGTGGTGGTGGTGGTGGTGGCTGCTGACGCTGCAGGAACATTTGCAGCTGAAGTTGCTGCAGCTGCAGCAATTGCTGTTGTTGTTGGGAAGCGGGAGCAGGTGCAATTGGCCCTTGCTGCTGCTGTTCTTGTTGTTGTTGCTGCTGTTGCCCATGCTGTTTGAGGGCTTGTTGGAAGCCAATGACATGCGGGAGCGAAAGCAGGTTGGAGGGCTGCTGCTGCTGATGTTGTTGTTGTCGCTGTTGTAGCTGTTGTAGCTGTTGTAGCTGTTGTTGCAGCTGGTGTTGACGTTGCTGGAGCTGCTGTTGTTGCTGCAGCTGGTGTTGGAGCTGTTGCCACAGCGCCGGTGCGGACCCAGCCAGGGAGGCGGCAGGAATATGCTGCGGTGGCACCGCTGCCGACAGAGCGGGTGCACTTGTGGTCGCCACGGCGTGCGGGCCTGCTGTAGTGACAGGGGACATACCCGGAAGGCCACCGCCATACGGATCTTGTTGTTGTTGCTGTTGCTGTTGCTGCTGTTGTTGTTGCATGTGTGGCGGAAGGTACGGGTTGAAGGCGAACATAAAGCCACTGCCGCCAGATGCAGCAGCAGCAGCAGCAGCAGCAGCAGCAGCATTGCCCTGTGCACCTTGCATCCCGTTTGCACCAAAGGACGGGGCCATGTGGTTCAGCATCATCATCACCTGCGAGCCCGGCAACGGCTGCTGTTGGTGTGGTGCCTGAGGGGCAAAGCCAAACGGGGACGGCCGTGCCTGTGCGGGCGCCGCCATGGCGCCTGGCGTCTCCGGACTGGCCACTCCCTTGTGCACCTTGAGGTGCCGGTTGAGTGCACCTTTCTGCGTGAACCGCTTGCCGCAGCCGGGAAACGCGCACGCATACGGACGCTCGCCCGTGTGCGAGCGGAGGTGCACGAGGTACTGGTCGCGTCGGTAGAACTTCTTGTCGCAGTGCTGGCAGGCAAAGTCAAACGACTGGCTGTGCATCTTCTCGTGTCGCGTGAGGTGGTTGCGCCGGTGGAAGATACGCCCGCAGGTGCCACACTTGTGCTCCCGTTGCTTCTCGAGGTTCCTTGCAGCGCTGGCGGTGGTCGCACTCGGCTTGTGCACGGTTGTGCGGCGGCTACTGCTGCTGCTGCCACTGCTGCTGCCAGTGGCGGCGGTGTTAGCCGCTGCGGTGCGATGTGCACGGCTGTGGCCGCCGCAGCCGCTACTGCTGCTGTCACTACTGGCGCTGGTGCTGCTCTCGGCACCTGGGGAGGAGGCGCGAAGACGGGCTGCTGCCGTGTGTTTTGTCAACCGTGGAGGAGGAGATGGTGGTGCAGCGTGGTGTTGACGCGACACGCGCGTGCGGCTGGCGCCAGTGCCCACGCGCAGAACATGGTGTGTGCCTTGCTGCAGGCTGGGCGCGAAATGGCTGCTGCTCTTATTGCTGTTGTCGCTGTCGTCTGGGCTTGTGCCGTGCTCCCGCTGGTCGCTGGTGGTCGTTGTTGCCGATGTGCTGCCGCCGCTGTCGTCCTGGCTGGAAGGCTGCCGCGTTTTGCTGCGCTTGGTGTTGGGCGCACCCGAGGAGGCGGTGCCGCCAGCCAAAACCGCGTCCCGCTTCTGGCTGCTGCCGTGGTTGTGGCTGTGCTGATCGCTGTGCTGATCACTGTGCTTCTTCTTCTTCTTCTTGTTGTGCTTGGTGTGCTTGGTGTGCTTCTTGCTGCTGCTGCCGCCACTGCTGCTACTGTAACTGGTGTCGCGTTGGGAATCGCGTTGGGTATCGTGTTGGGTAGTGGGTGCCTTGCTTGATCGTGGGTGCCGGCGCTGGCGGACACGGGTGTCACTGCCTTGCTCGTAGCCACTGCTGCTGCCACTGCTGCGGTTATTACTGCTGCTGTTGGTGCTTGTCATCGTCGTGGTTGTGGTGGTGGTGGTGGAAAGGGCGTCAGGATTGCTTCCTGCACTCAAGCCGCTGCCACGGTGGCTGGCCGGTCTGAACCTGTCGTGGCCATGGCCGGTGTTGCTGTGCTGCTGCTGCTGCAGCAGCTGCGATTGCGATTGCCGTTGTCGGTGTTGCTGCTGCTGCTGCTGCACGCCGCTGCAGCTGGCGTGTTGGTGTTTGTCGTCGTTGTCGTCCATGAACACAACCGCAAGGCGGAGAAGGTCAAAGGGGCAGACGCCTGCTGCGGTGTGTTTGGACGGGAGGGGGTCGTCACCTGGGCAGAGGGACGACGCCGCGGAGGAGAGCGGAGAACAAGGGGCAGAGGAAAGGGAGGCAGGGGAAGAGGTGTGGCTGGGGTTGTGGAGTGCCACTGAGGACGACATCCAAGCAACTGATGTGGATAAGAGAAGGGGCGGTGTAGCGACGTTGGGAGGAGGGGGGGGGGGAGGAGAGGAGACGGTTGATCAATGTAAAAAGAAGACCCGGGATGGGTATGTTTGCGTGCGTGTGTGAATGCGTGTGTGGCTGTGTGTGTGCGTGCGTGTGTGGCTGTGTATGTCTGTGTGTATGTGTGTGCTATGTGTGTGTGTTTGAGTGAGAAGGGGCTGTGCTTGTCACTTGCAGGGTGGTGCACGCTCAAGCAATCAAGCCAACAGGGAAAGGAGAGACGGAAGAGTGTGGGGGCTGCAGTTGGATGCGGGGGTGCCACACCAACATGGAAGAGAGTGTGGTCGTGGTTGCTTCGGCGTAGATGGGAGCGGATGATGATATGTGTAGCTGTGGGGCTGTGTGTGCGACCGTTGCTGTTGCTCGTGTGTTGACAAGTGGGAAATGGGCATGCAGACTGTCAAACACACACGCACACGCACACTCAAACATGCATCGGCTGCACACTGTTTTGCGGTTGCTTCTTGCGTATGTGTGAGTGAGTGAGTGAGCTGCCTGCGCCCAGCCACCACCGGTCTAGCCTTCGTGAGTGGTTGCTTCTCTTTGAGGGTATTGGGGGGACAGCTAAACTGAAAGGGACAATGCAGCGTGCGCATGTGTGCGTGTGGCGTGTGTTGCTTGATTCTTTGGATGTGGCTGTGTTGGACAAGTTCGTCACAGCATGGAAGACCCTTGTTTACTGCAATGCAATTCCAAGAAGTCGGCGCTTCTGCGAATTCGAGCGGCCTCGCAACGTGGTCAACCAAACGCAACGTCATCAACAAGCCTCAACAAACTCACGCAATCCGTCAGGGGTCCCTGAATATTACATGAAGATGCGGCAAAAGTGAGTTGAACGAGTAAGCGCGAAGTTTCAAACGAACCAAACGCCAGTTGTGCCGAACGCAAAATCGCACACAACAAGCAGCCAAAGCCAGCAACACAAGCACGCGGACAAGCAAAAGCGCACCGTCAAAGTCAGGATGGGGGAGCAGGCCATATTTTTCCAGGAAGCGAACAAGGGTCGGAAAGGGGAGGGTGACTGCGGCTTCCTGGAACTGGCCTGCGACTTCTGGCGGGTGTTGCGTTGTTGCCGGTGCTTGCGGCAACTCAGCCTTGCCAAACAACTTGTGCAAGTCACCAAAACCAAAACAGCAACACGCCACGATACGCGCGCGGGACCGTCAGTTCCGAGAAAAATGATGTCATGCGCATCAACCAAATCGAAATGGGGCAGAACGACCACCCCACCCAACCCGCAGAAAGATTGCATCAATGGCGACGGATGTGCTTGTTTGGTGTGCTTGTTTGGTGTGGTGCGTGCGTGTGTGTGCGTGCGTGTGTGTGTGTAGTGTGTGTGTGTAGTGTGTGTGTGTGTTTGGTGTGTGTTTGGTGTGTGTGTGTGTGTGTGTGTGTGTGTGTGTGTGTGTGTGTGTGTGTGTGTGTGTGTGTGTTTGG